TAGGCTAGGTGGGATTAGAATAAACAGTCTAAACAAGTAAACAGGAAGGCCAAAACTAAACTTTAGAGGCGTGCCTCAATAAATAAGCCAAATGATTTATCCAGAAGAATTTGGAATGCCATAGGTTTAATTTAGTGTACTATATATATATATATATATATATATATAAGAGGATGTCTGAGATATGCTGCAAACAAATATATAATTTGTTCCGATCTCATACATAAATATGTAAAGTCTTGTTTCTGTAGATTAATTTCTTTTGACATAGTTTATAAGGGTTTTGCTTGATGATTTGTACTTTTATATTTCAAAAACAGTTTACACCCAAATTTAAATTTCTAAAATGTACATGCATCCCAAAACCCCCTAAATTTAGGCATTTATATCAGCTAATTTTCCCATTGTAAAAAAAAAATAGCCCACGGGTCTCGAAAATGTAAGTCTAGAATTGTTTATGCTTGGCAGCTCAAGGTGGGGGTTCAGGCACCCACCACCAAGATCTGCCAAATTTAGCCATTGTGGTATATTTTATCACCTAATTTTAATTGAACAATTTATTTCTTTTATGTTTGTATATTTTAGGCAAGCGAAAATGAGATCATATGGGTGATGAGAGGTTCAGTTATCGTCTCGGGAGCCATTGCCACCACATTGGCAATTACAATCAACTCAATATACGGGCTGTTTTACCTCTGTTCTGACTTCGTATACGTCGTTCTGTTTCCACAACTCCTCTCCGTCGTTTACATTGACTTCACGAACACTTATGGCTCTCTTTCCGCCTTCATCGTCGGATTGATATTAAGACTTGGCGGCGGCGAACCATTGTTGAATCTCAAGCCATTCATCGAATATCCGTTTTTCGACGACGGTGAACAGTTATTTCCGTTCCGTACATTTTCAATGCTTATGGCACTGACGACACTGGTTCTTATCTCCCTTTTGTTTCACTATCTGTTTACCAAAGAGATTCTGGACAAGAAGTGGGACGTTTTCAAGTGTGTGACAAATGTCCCACCACCCATAGTCGATACTATAAAAATGAAATCCATAGGTGTTGACACGGGAGATGGTAAGTACCGTATATCTCGACTTTAATATATTTTCCTATATTCAGTGTCCTCGGACAAAATAAAACACTAAACAGATATGTTTTAAAATGAGCTACCGGTAGGCATACATGTATATTAAGCAAAGCCTTTCTATCATTAGAAGTGATTCTGCATCAACGACTGATACACATTCTACTTTTTGTTTGTTTATTATTTATTGTTCTCATTACATCAGATACAATATAAATAAATAAGCGCATAAAAAACACACAAAAAAAAGATAAGAGCAAGAAGATGACTCTATAAGCTCGAAAGCTTGTTTCCTTAATTCCTTAGGGGTCCTTTACACTAATGAACTTTCGCATGTTGTAGACAGGCATTCCCAAGTGTATGGGGAACAGTTGGCACACTGCACTCTGTGGTTGTGGTCTGTGCTTTAAACATTTACATATATACGGTAGTGATTATATAGGCC